AATCCTCGTCTTTGGACTCATTGACTCTGTAGAAAATTAGATTCCATCGACGACTATAGATGTTTAAATGAGTCAGCTCATCCCAACAAGTTGACTGCTCGTTTTCGCAGTTCGCGACGCGTTCCACAAGGTCGTCATGCTCACCTTGGGTGAACTCAAGGGAATCTTTAGTGTTGTTCACTGTCTTATCGACTTCACGGAGTTGTTTCTTTAAGGCTTGTATTTCAACTTGGGCTTCGTCAAGTCTAGCCTCCAGATTAAGAATTCGTTCTTCGCGGATTTTAGTGTTGTCTTCGATAGCTGTAAGTCTTAATAAGAAACTTTGATATTCTGTTAGCGTCATTTTGATGTAGGCGCCATCTTGGGCTGCTTCGATGGATTCCGTGTCGGTGCCAGAGCTGCTTATCCTCGGTCGTTTTTTATCTAAATCTTTGTTTCCCATGTTGGTAGCTGTTAGTACGATGAAAAACGTACAAGAACGGCAATATTCACTGTGTTGTGTTGATTTCTCAAAGCCGGGTTTGCGGAGCTTTCAAATGTGCGTCTACTTCCAACGGCTCATGCCCATGCTCCACGCGTATTTTACTTGTAACGAGAAAAGAAATCTTTAAAAAAAAAAGGATAACTGGCGGAGGGTCTCCTACAAAAAAATCTCCCATTAAAAAACACTCTAAGACACACATATAGCTTTTATAGCTTGTATACCCCTTAATTTTCCAGTTATTGCGCAAGTGATTTCATAATACCTTGGTGCCAAACTCACAGAATCACGGGCGTGCCACCTAGTGTTTCTGTTGCATGATAAAACTCGCACTTGAGAGTTTAGAGCACCATGGCATTACAATAAAACGAGCTTCCTAATGCTAAAACATATCAGATTTATTAACCCTTAATTTCTTCTGTGCGCAAGTGATTTCATAATACCGTGGTGTCTAACTCACAGGAACCACGGGCGTGCCACTTGGTGTTTCTGTTACTTTAAAAATCGCACTTAGGAATTTAGAACACCATGGCATTACAATAAAACTCGCTTACTCAAGCTAAAACATATTAACCTTTAAATTTCCACTCGGTGCCCAAGTAATTTCATAATACCGTGGTGTCTAACTCATAGAATCACAGGCGCGCCACCTAGAGTTTCTGTTGCTTTAAAAATCGCACTTAGGAGTTTAGAACACCATGGCATTACAATAAAACTCGCTTCCTTAAGCTAAAACATATCAGACATATCAACTCTTAATTTTCCTCTTTGTGCGCTAGTAATTTCATAATACCGTGGTGTTACTAGTGTTCCTAGATCTAAGCGCTGCCTTTGATACAGTAGACCATGATATATTACTGCGGTGCCTGGAATACAAATTTGGAATTTAAGATCAAGCAGTAACGTGGTTTAAATCTTATTTGTCGAATAGATCCCAGCGTATTGTAATCGGCAGTACAAAGTCAGACAGTTTTGATCTGAAGTTTGGTGTGCCACAGGGCTCCTGTTTCGGCCCAATGCTGTTCTCCCTTTACACTAGTGAGCTTTTCAATGTCATTAGCAAGCACTTGCCAACAGCGCACAGTTACGCCGATGATACGGGTATCTATTTGGCATTCAATCCAAACGATGATTCCGATCAAGACGCCGCCATTGCAGCAATGGAAGCGTGCCTCTGTGACATCCGTAGCTGGATGAACAATGCCAAACTCATGATCAATGATTTCAAGACTGAGTTTATGCTCATTGGGACGAAGGGGCAGCTACAGAAAACTAAAAGCGCTACTCTAACTATTGGCGAATCCATCATCTCTCCCAACACGGAACCCCTTAGAAACTTAGGGGCCTGGTTGGACTACCATTTCAACCTGAACTTTAACATAACCAAAACTTGTAGGAGTGCTTTTTATCATCTACACAATATTAGACGCGTCAGAACATATCTAAGCATAGAATCTGCCGAGAAATTAGTTCACGCTTTCATCACAAGCAGATTGGACCATTGTAACTCACTTTTATACGGACTACCCCACTGCGCCCTCACTAAACTGCAGCGTGTTCAAAACGCAGCTACAAGAGTTCTATATCTAGCACCACGGTATTGCCATATCACACCAATATTATATTACAATATTAATTACACTGGCTGCCTGTAACATTTAGAATAGAATTTAAGATTATTATAATCACTCACAAAGCAATCCATGGAACAGCTTCTAATTATTTATCATCTCTCGTTAACTTTAAACCTAATTCTTCCTACAGCCTCAGATCAAATAACAAATATCTGCTTTCAAATCCAAACTTTAGGACTCTCCCTACTCTTGGTGACCGAGCCTTTGTAGCCGCCGCACCAAAACTGTGGAATAATCTTCCATTAGATCTTATATGAACCTCCGATTTTGAAGTTTTTAAACGTAATTTGAAGACTCACCTTTTTAAAAAAGCCTCTTCTGAAATAATGTTGTAATTTATAGACTAGATAATTATTCATTCGTGTAATTTTTAATTGCAAGGCGCATTTGAAAACTGTATAGTTGAATTGGCGCGGTATAAATAAATAATAATAATAATAATAATAATAATAATAATAATAATAATAATAATAGTACAGGCAATTGAGTAAGGAAGGACAAAAGTTTGGTTACCTTGTGAATGGGACAAAGAGCTGGCTTATTGTGAAGTCTAGGGAACTAGAGGAGGAAGCAAAGAGGGTGTTTGGAGAGGAAGTCAACATAACGACTGAAGGTCAGCGCCATCTGGGAGCAGTTATTGCGTCGCAAGAATACAAAGATCAGTATTGTGAGGAGAAGGTTCGTGCATGGAAAGAGGAAATCGAACGTCTCTCTGAAATAGCGAAGAGCCAGCCCCATGCGGCGTATATTGCTTTCACAAAAGGCTACAAGTCGAAGTTCACCTACTTCATGCGCACGATTGAATCGTTTGAAGATTATGTCGATCCAATCCAGGAAGTGATTGAAGATTTACTACTCCCTACTTTGTTCGGTCAATCAGAGCCTCTCCCTAACGAGGTGCGCAGACTTGCTACCTTAGCAACGGGTCAAGGGGGTCTAGGCATTCCTGATCTGAAATCCGAGGCACCGCAGCAGTTTGCTGCCTCGAGACTAATAACCACCGCCCACGTAGATTCTATTACATCACAGAGTTCCATCATGGTGCCAGGAGAAAGATCTACGGAGGAGCTAAAGAGGCATCAACAATCACTTAAGAGAGCAAGTGCCAAAGAGAAAATGGATAGCATTGATTCAAGCCTCTCCCCAGGCCTGCTGCGTCTGGTTAATCAATCGAGGGACAAGGGCGCAAGTTCTTGGCTGAATGCGATGCCTCTCGCAGACAAAGGTTTAGCCCTCAACAAGCAAGAGTTCAGAGACTCGCTACGCTTGCGTTATGACTTACCCTTAGTCGATTTACCAAGTCATTGCATATGTGGGGATAAATTCACCGTTAGTCACGCCCTCTCTTGTAAAAAGGGGGGGTTTGTAGCGCAGAGACATGATGGTGTACGGAACTTGTTAACGACATTCATCGACAAGATCTGCAATAATGTCGAAATCGAACCACGCCTTCAACCCCTGGACAACGAGCGATTTCATTTGAGGAGCGCTGTTACAAGTTCTGAGGCAAGGTTGGACATCAAAGCGGGAGGTTTCTGGGCAAGAGGAGTTACGGCATTTTTTGATGTTAGAGTTACGCACGTCAACTCCAAGTGTTACCAGAGCAAGCCAACATCGGAAGTTTTCAAAGAGCATGAAGAAGAGAAGAAGCGCAAGTACCAGCAGCGGGTGTTAGATGTCGAAATGGGTTCGTTTACGCCTTTAGTGTTTGGAACCAATGGCGGAATTGGAAACGAGTGTCAGCGGTTCTTAAAGCATCTCGCAGACAAGATAGCTCAGAAAGACACCGAGCCTTATCATGTTGTAATCACTTGGCTCAGGACACAGATCTCGTTTGAACTCTTAAGATCGGTACATGCATGCGTCAGAGGTTCGCGAACGTCGTTTCGTAGCAAGCTAGAGCAATCATTAGACTGTAAAATAAATGTCGCTAGTGCGGATATCTGA